TCACACACACACACACACACACACACACACACACACACACACACTCATAGCTTACTCACTATGGTTGCTCCTATAGCAATGGCTACCGCTTTTTCTGCGTAAACACTGGTGGCGTCACAGAATTGAAGGCACGGGGGGTAGGCGTGGCCGAGTCAGATCAAGGGGAATATCATTGTCAGGGGTCAGTGGAATAACATAATGTATCGTACATCAGTCACTTCCTTAATTTCTTTATCTCATCGCTAAACCTTTTTAAGACATTGTGGACACACAATATATCCAAAGCGCATCAGACCAAAGGCAATGTTGTAGCACATTTCGAACTTCCATTCAGGAATAAGAAACACAAACAATTTTTCATTTTTTTCACAGTAAGCAAATTGTTGTCAACCGTTTTAGGCTTTAGATAGAGAACATTCAAATGAAGTCTGCGTGAACGATGAAGTAGTTTCCCCAAAACAGCAAGTCTTTCGAGTAATCAGAATGCGCGAAAAAAATTCTTACCTGCCTAAATAATTGTCAGTTCTCAAGTTCTCACAAATACACTCAACCCAAAAATGTACGAAATACTTCAGGGTTGTAAGTGTGTTGCTTCCGAAAATGTCACTTGTTTTCCTAACAGTTTGTAACAGTGTGCAAATTTTTGCAACACTTTGTGATCAAATGTTGCGTCTATTTGTGACACTTCGTAACTCTTTGCAATTCTCTCTAACACTTTTTATCTTTTTGTGACATTTCTATTTTTCTTATGACACTTTATCACATTTTTGTTGTTGCAAAGAACACATTGTAACAACATGTTTCTTGATCTGCTAAATTGTGAACATGTGTAATTCTTTGCAACATTTTGTAAGATTATGTATATTTTTCTAAAAATTAAATGATAATTGGGACCCCTTGCTTAGTTTTATAATGTTCTGTGGCTCTTTGCATAAATTTTGTAACATGCTCTAACCCTGTAACAATCTGTAGCTGTGCTTGAAATTTACTGACATTCACTTTGAACTTCACGCGCTATGCAAGGCTCTAATAACAGCACTAATAAATGTTCATGGGCTGTTTTAATCACCTGGGAAGAAATATCTCATAAAAATGAAAACTTTAACCAATCTCAAAGTGTCAAGTTTAATCAATGGAAAGTTGTGTAAAATAAATAAGTCTCAGTAATTTCGACATTATGCTATCATTTATTGTGCCTCATTTTTTTACAATGAGTTTTGTGTGATTGCATGTGTGTGTTTGAGTGTGTGTGTGTGTGTGTGTGTGTGTGTATGTGTGTGTGTGTGTGTGTGTGTGTGT